GGATGGCAGTTAACAACAAACAACAAAAGGAGATTGTATACCCACAAAAGTCAGCTTTGTTTCTATTGCAACAAGTATATAGGTGCATTTTGGTTGGCCAACAAAGGTATCACTGATGGATTTTTGTTTGAATTTGCTAAATGGCCAACACAGCTTCCTCTGAATGTTTTTTGTTTGTTTGTTTGTTGTTTGTTTGTTCCTTTCTATTGTTTAACTGCTTAATCCATTGAACCTGTCTGCTGAAAAGCGTGCCTAAACGCTCAGCATCTTCCAGCTATGAGCCCTTGGTCTTGTCTGTTGGGGATCATCTTCCACTGAAGTTGCAAAAGAGCCATTGCAAAACAAAAAGCATTTTCCTCTGGAGGATGAGTGATGCCTCCTTTTCAAAGGCAGCTAATACTGTCTACTTGCTCCTTGGTTTTTGGGTTGTTGATTTTTTGGAAATCAGGTTTGCAAGCAATGGGCCAGTGGCGCAATGGATAACGCGTCTGACTACGGATCAGAAGATTGTAGGTTCGACTCCTGCCTGGCTCGTTGATGCCCTTTTTCTCTAAATGGAAATGCCTGCATTCCTTGCTGCTTCTTGTGATGTATCTGAAGATCTCCAAAGTCTGTACATTTTCAAATCACCTTTGCCTTTGGCCTCGTGAAGAAATTATAAGGAATAATAATTTCAGATCTCCTTACTCCGTTGCCATCAGGGCTGCATTTAAGAAGCACAAGTTACTTTTATACTTTCAGGAAGCTTAAAAAAAATAAACATGGTTTGCTCTGGTTACAGTGTATATAAATGTAATGTATCCCCTTGAAGGCTAAATACCATTATTATCTATTTTAGGGCCTTTGCAGACTGCCAGAAATAGTGCACATTAAATTGAGGCACTGCCCTGGCTCAGTGCTAGGGAATCATGGGAACTGTAATTTATTGTGGCACCAGAGCTCTCTCACAGAGAAGGCTCAATGTCCCAAAAAAAAATACAGTTCCCATGATTCCCTAGCACTGAGCCAGGGGAGTGCCTCAATTTAATGTGCACTATTTCTGGCAGCCAGAATACCACTTCTTAATTCTTTCTTTCTTTCTCTTTCTTTCTTCAGTTAGGCATTAAATATTACATATTAAATATTAAACTGCCATGGCTCAGTGCTATGGAATTCTAGGAACTGCACTTTGTTGTGGCACCAGAGCTCTGCAGTTAAATCGGTCTCAAAGTGGATTATTTCTGCAGTGCCTTTTGGACCTTAGGGCCTTTGCAGACTGCCAGAAATAGTGCAAACTGAGTCCACTTTAACTACCCTGGCTCAGTGCTAGGGAATCATGGAAACTGTAGTTTATTGTGGCACCAGAGCTCTCTAACAGAGAAGGCTCAATGTCCCAGAAATGCAAGATCCCTTTGCAGACTGATTTTTCCAGACTTGGATTTCTGCAGCAGGGGCTTTTCTCCATGGGATGAAGATGTCTGGCATTGTTAACATCAATGTATAATGTACTGCATTTGATAAAAGTAGTTTTTGTGACACAAAACTCCAAGCCAGGCAGGAGTCGAACCTACAATCTTCTGATCCGTAGTCAGACGCATTATCCATTGCACCACTGGCCCAACATTAACAAAACTGTGTCAAGCAAGGCATGCAAATATATATAGCCAAATGCATCTCTTTCCCTTCTTGCATTTTATTTTCATCCACTGCCTCCTACAAAGACATATATATATATATATATAGACATATAAATAAAAGACATATAAAGACACACACACACACACATATATATGTCTTGATATGACATACTAATCCACGCTTGGATCCTATCTGTTTTCCATAATCTGAAATGTCTTTTATTTCTATGTGTTATCTATCTATCTATCTATCTATCTATCTATCTATCTATCTATCTGTTTGTTTTCCATAATGTGAACTCTATATATGTCTTTTGAAGTTTGTATGTCTTTTATTTATATGATATATATATATATATATATATCAGACATAATGTTCCACGCTTGGATCCAGTCTGTCTTCCATAATCTGAACTTTTATTTATATGTAATATATATATATATATATATATATATATATATGCTTGGATCCAGTTTGTCTTCCATAATGTGAACTCTATATATGTCTTTTAAAGTTTGTATGCCTTTTATTTATATGTTTTATATATATATA